CATGTGTGTGTGGGTATGTATGTATAGTATTTCTGGTTATGCCACTTCATTATTTCTCATAACTATATATATACATATATATATATATATATATGAAAATTTCTCCGATTTAACCAGTAGATACATAAATATATATATATATATATATATATATATATATATATATATATATATATATTATATTATATCATATATGGCTGGTGTTAAAAAACAGTACTCAATGTAATTCAAAAGCACTATCAATTATATATATATATATATATACATATACATATATATATATATAGCCATTAATTATATATAAATGTATGTGTGTGCGTCTGTCTGCCTACCAGCAAACGAACAAATTATTTTTTAATGGTTGTTTTTTTTTTTCGTGCTAAGGCGCTTTAATATCCCTGGTCTGGTAATATGAATCATACCTACATAACTGTGAATCTGTGCAGTATCTATCTATCTATCTATCTATCTATCTATCTATCTATCTATCTATCCCTGAGTGTTCATATCTATCTATCTATCTATCTATCTATCTATCTATCTATCCCTCAGTGTTCATATCTATCTATCTATCTATCTATCTATCTATCTATCTATCTATCTATCTAAGTTTGATTCTTATGTATCAGTCTATCTGTTTACCCTTTTCATTCTTCCAGGTTCACTAATCCACCATTTACACTCCTACTGCACAACCCTCATAGTAAACATGTATCGACCCTTTAGAGTAAAGCCACTCGTCTCCTCTTAACCGGCGTGTTGTCAGCTATCTTTCATAAATCGATTCTTCCTCTTGGCTAGGTCACGCTTCCCAAAGCGATATCCCCGCCCCTTAACACATACACAGATTCCCAAGCTGAAACCATGTTGCCAACTGACATTTTGGGCGAAGGAAGTTTGCGATTTAATAGTAAATTTATTCAATCATAATTTACTATTACGAATTATTTTAGTCACAGACAGTAACTAACAGTATGGATCCTCACATCACGTGTCCCGTTACACATCAGGTGCACTCCGTCTACTGCAGTCATAGCATCAGTGGCGTTTTTAGACAGCCTGACGAAACCCGTTGCTCTTCAGGTTGTTTTTTTTTTAATTCAGAATTTTCCTTCTCCTAGACGTGTTGCCGTCTCAAAGCAAGAGTCACAGTCTGCCCTGTTATTTAACCCATAGCATGAGGAAGGTGGAGTCATGCCTTTTTCCAAGTGCGTTAGCGCGTAGTGAGCAAAACAAAATCGACCAGAATTTGAACTCGGCTACACGATCCTATTTTCCGCGCCGAGTAACCGCTACACTGTCAACGCCCCCGCAAAAATATTAACAAACAATTTTAATTAAATTAGAATTCCATGAAAATACGCCTTACCCCTGAGCAGGATTTTCAGTTAGTTCTCGCCGAAGGCATGAATGGATCTGAACTATGTATTAAGTGAATCATACCTTACGAGAAAAAAAAATCATTATGCTGAATTTTTGGATGTCATTTAAATATCTGGTTCCAGTAGGAAGAAGGACGTCATGAAAGATTTTAAATGTATACAGGTTTTTTGTTTGTTTGTTTTTGTTTTTTCTAATCGCCAAAAAATAAAAGCTCAAGATACGAGCTAGAATTTGGAGATTTCAAAATCAGTTGGAGATTTTCAAAAGTACAGAATTACCGTATATCTAGCAAGAATGCAACTTGGGCACCTCGACGTGGAGTAATGGTTAGAAAGCTTGTCTTGCGAGATTAATTACGACTGAGTAGTGAGTTTGAACCTCACTGGGTGCCCTATAGTTTCGGCCTTGTGCCCCATCTAAACTGGGCTTAGAAAATCACTATACGTATGCGACTTTTGAAAACCTAATTTTGCCGGTAATTTTAAGAGGGTCGCATCATACACGAGATATAAAATTAGCGTATGTACTGCTGGTCCTGGCTGCGTCATTGACCAAATTATATATCCATTTACTGCAGTCAAAAAGTACGGCTGTATTTAAAATAAACATGATTTTGATAAACTGATGTTTTACTTAACTGTATCCAACAATAATGCATGTAATATTCACATATTAGTATCATATTATAAAATACAAACATGGCGAATATGCAATTTTTCATTGTTTACGTTTATAAGATGTTTAGCTGTTTCTCGTTCGGTTGTTTATGGCTGTACGCGTTTTACGCAACGATTATAGCGTTACTAACGATACTTTTATCATTCTCTTTTACTTTTTTTAACTTATTTAACTAGAAGATGGGATAAAGAGATGGAGGAAAAGAGGTTAGTCTATTGTAATTTGGTCTCTCAAAAGCGGAACTCGCATGATACACGAGATATATTATAAAATCATCTGAAATCAATAAATAAATCTAATAAACAAAATTGACTAAGTGATGTTTTTGAAGACTTAGTTTTGAAGCTAATTTTAAGGGGGTCGCGTCATACATGAGATATAAAACTGGCGTATGTATTGTTGGCCCTGGCTACGCTTTTGACCAAACTATATATCTATTTACTTTAGTCAAATTAGCTTCAAAATTAGGTTTTCAAAGGTCTCATGATACGCGTATATATATATATATATATATATATATATATATATATATACATATATATATATATATATATATATATATATATATATATATATATATATATCGGAAGTGTATTTTAAAAGAGAATGAAAAAAGCGACACCGAAATTCGAATAACACAAGATGTCTTCCAGAAGCTTAGCAATGTACTAAGAAACAGAAAAATATCATTAGAAACAATGAAAAGAAGACCTGAACTGCTATGTGATATCAATCGTCCTATATAAAAGTGATTACTGGACAATTTCCTCTCAGATGAAAAGAAGACAAGTGGCAACAGAATTGTGGTTCTACAGAAGGATGCTGAGAATTCCATGATGGACCGCGTAAAGAAACGAATTATTTATTTTTGTGAAGGAAAATGGAAACAAAAAGAATACTTCTGCTCAGAATCGGACAGAGAGGTCTGAAATTTATTTGACACATAATGAGGAAGGTTGGCTTGGAAAAATTGACTCTCACAAGACATAGCGAAGACAAAAATGCAGTGGAAGTGGCAACGGGTCAGGTACCCGACGGACTTGTGTGAATGAATGACAAAACAGGTGGTGGGAGGAAAGATGAAGAGAGAAACGTTAATAAGAACTAGAAGGGATAGGAAGCTGTGGTGCGCCGTGATTTTTATTGTTATGTTTTTTATTGTAGTCATAAACGCAGGCATAATACCGATTTAGGTTTTTGTGAGGATTTATGTCACCATTTATTAAACTTAATTTAGTTTGGTACAAGGTTAAAAGCGTGGAGTGTCGAATAAGAATGTATATTTTTTTTAATCATTTTACTGAGGTAAGACAATAAAGCCACTAAGACGCAAGAGGTTACTGAGTTTGAAAGAATATGAAGAATATGAAAAAAAAAAACATTATTATGGAGAGAGAACAGTAGACATACCAATTAATTTGATATAATCTTTCCGCTTCATGTCTGCAGAAAACCTTAGTCCAAGAAGGCGTAAATGAATCACTTCGCTAACCTGCTGGAGAGTGTCTCATTGAAGGCAAAAAGAAAGCAAAAATAATTACAATAGCTCATCTCAGAAATATAGACAGTTCCTGAAGAAAGCCAGAGCGTACAAGGGCCGAAACGTCGTGAATATGCCAATAAAGATGAGGACAACAGTCGAAAAAATGAAAATAATGTAAATAATTACAATACCTCATCTCAGAAATATAGACAGTTCCTGAAGAAGGCCGGAGCGTACAACGGCCGAAACGTCGTGAATATGGCAATAAAGATGAGGACAGCAGTCGAAAAAATGAAACTACTCAGGATTAATAACTAAACATAAGAGTTTACTAACCATTAATCTTTGTCCCGTTAGGACTTAGAAGATTAGAGAGATTGATATTTATTGGTTACTATTCTATAAATTTAAAAACGCAACACGAATTTAGTTTTTATCTTGTCTATATTTTTATATGGCAGTAAAAATTCAATTTAATCTCCCTGTGCCACATGGGTCGTAACGAACTGACATTTCATTTTTACTGAACGAAGTTACATAAATTATTTACATTATTTACATTGTTCGGACTGTTGTCCTCGTATTTATCGTCATATTCACGATGTTTCGGTCATTGAGAGGGTGGGAAAGAGATATAGAAATATACACACAAAGAAAAAGAGAGACGGGCAGATAGACATTGTGTATATAAAAAAAAAAAAAACTATGAAGCCTATCACTATGTTTACACTGTCTAAATCTATAGATGCTTCGATATCAAGATCTCTTTTCCTCTTGAAATATAAAAATTTTAACCACCATATATATATATATATATATATATATATATATATATATATGCGAACATTTGTACATACATCTATTTATATTTATTTATTTGAATCGGGGTGAACTTGGTGGGGACAACTGCAATTAAGTGGGGGTTTTACGCTTCTTAAAAGCTGTAATCTCGTGATAAGTGGCATTGCTGACGGATGTAGTTTATCGTCATACCCAGGACGTCGCGCCGTAACGAATCTGGCCATAATTCTGATTTAAAAAGTGCTATTCTAATTGAAAGAGGAAGCCGTTTAGTAAGACAGACGAAAATGTATAGAAAGTGCTTTAATCGCTAGATCATCCACAGTAAATTTACGTCCTGTTTCTTGCAACATTTCACATTTCTTGTAACATTTCACATTTCTTGGCAGATCTACTGTTATCACAATGTGGGATATTTAATAGTATAAACAAGAATGAAAACATAAGGAAACCGAAAGAAATTGGCTAAATTCAGATACCCAGGGCATATATAAAAAAAATTAAAATTAAAATAAATAAATAGAATTTAAATTAAATTTAAGCTTAAATTTAAAAGTTTAAAATTTCAGCGTTTCCAACATTATCAGCGTTTTCTGCCTCTGCAGTTCTTTATATTCCCCATATGTTTTGCACATATTGCTATTATCCAGACGTACGGCCGCATCACGTTGAAACACCGGTTCCGAGTAGGATCACCGAAATTAAGCAACTTCGAGCCTAATCAGTACCCGGATGAGTGACCGCTTGGGAATTGCGGTTCTGTAAGCTTGGATGCTTGGTTTTGGTTTGTTTTACGGCATATCAACCTCAATGGGTTATTTAATGCCGACAACATTTTTTTAGATTCGATGAATAGAATATGTATTCTTTGGTTTAGATTGGTTTGGTTTATTTTGTTTTAGAATATCAATTATTTTTAATGCCGACAACATTTTAGGATAGATTCGCATGGATAGATTGGTTTTGGTTTATTTTTGGTTTTTTTGTTTTACGACATATCAACCTCAATGGGTTATTTAATGCCGACAACATTTTTAGGATAGATTCGTATGGATAGAATATGTATTCTTTGGTTTAGATTGGTTTGGTTTATTTTGTTTTACGACATATCAACCTCAATGGGTTATTTAATGCCGACAACATTTTTAGGATAGATTAGAACGTATGAATAGAATATGGGTTATTCTTTTTTAGTTTAGATTGGTTTGGTTTATTTTTGTTTTATTTTTGACATATCAACCTCAATGGGTTATTTAATGCCGACAACATTTTTACGATAGATTCGTATGGATAGAATATGTATTATTTGGTTAAGATTGGTTTGGTTTATTTTGTTTTACGGCGGCATATCAACTTCAATGGATTATTTAATGCCGACAACATTTTTATTGCTGGTAATGTTTTTCCTCAAAAATCTATTTCTGGGAATATTTTTCCTTGAAGGAATCGAAAGCTGGTCATATTTTTTTTCAAAGAATGTATAACTGTATTGCTGGTATTTTTTTTTTTTTTAAGTATTGCTGATAATAATTTTTCCTTCAAAAATTATTACTGGTAATAATTTTTTTTTTATTACAAAGCATTTCTGGTATTAAAACCTATTTTTACACAAGTTTGGGTGTCAACTATTTGCCCATAGCTGGGACCCTAACAGGTGCTACCACCCCAGGTCAGGGTGGACCTGGGAACACCAGCAATTAAGAGGTGGTTCCACACTCCTCAACACCTCCTGATCAAAGACCTTTTTGTCGGATGTAGTTTATCGTTTTACCCTGGACGCGGATGTAGTTTATCGTCATACCCAGGATGCGCGGGTGGTGTAATGGATAACGGCTCAGGATTGGATGTCGGACAGCCTAGTTTCAGTTCCACGTAAATCTCTAAATTCGCATCTTCTTCTATCCACCCCTGCTTTTAGGTTTAATTAGAAGGAATTGTATCTGTAAAATCGTTATGATTTCCAAAAAGTTCTTAAAATTAAAAAAAAATATTTGCTGGCTTTAAATAACACGCGAAAGGTTGATAAGTCGGAAACAAGACAAGTCAATTAATCAATCTAATATCTGGCTCAACAAAAAAATTTAATTGGGGATCCCTGCTTGGTCCAATCAAGAGGTTTTCGGCACTCAGGCTTATAATATTGGAGGTTCTGTAATGCTTTTAACCAAACTAAAGCAATAAATCTACATTTTAAAAATAAAATAAATATTGCACGTCATTTGTGATACTGCTGTAAAGATTAACGCATATCTCGTGATGAGAATGTTTCGAGAACTTCTTACGAGATTTGAATATTTTAAAGGCGCTGAACCTTCAAAATATACGCCATTCTTTTGTGCGGCCATATGAAATGAAATTATAGCATTATGAAAAAGAAAAAATAATTCTTTTTAAATTTAGATTTAAAAAAAATCTGTTTGTACTACGTTTCCTTAACAATACATCAAAAGGACCTTATCTTATTTTTTTTTCTTCTCCATATTTTCCTCTAGAATAATTGGGATCAGAGAATAAATTTCTTGCAGGCTACGCTTGAGATATCTTGTCGAATAGTTTTCTTTTTTTTGTTACTGTTGTTTTGTTGTTCATTCTTAAATTTTTCTTTGGTTCCTTCGTTCATGTCCTTTTTTTTCTCACAATTTTTAATTCTCTCACACTTTCTCTCTCTTTCTCTCTTTCATTCCCTATTTCTCATTCTCTTCCTTTCTCACGCACTATTTCTCTCTCTTTTTCTCCCTCTCCCACCCTCTCTCTCTCTCTCTCACTCTTTCTATCTCTTTTTCTCTGTCGCCTTCTCTCGTTCACTTATTCTCCCACGCTATCTTTCATACTCTCACTCTCTTTTTCGCTCTCTCACTCTTTCTTTCTTTCTTTATTACTCTCACTCTCTCTTTCTCCCTGTCTCTCTCTTTGTCTCGTTCTCACACTCTCCCTTTTGTCACTCTCTCTCTCTTACTCTCTTCCTCACTCTCTCTCACCTTTTCTTTCTCCCTCACTCTCTTTCTCACTTTGTCTTACTCTTTCTTTCTCTCTTTTTCTATCTCACCCTCTCTTTCTCCGTCTCTTTCTCTATCTCTCGTTCTTTCGCTCTCCCTTTTGTCTCTCTCACTCCCTCTTTTTCTCTCTCTCGCTCACTCACTTTATCTCACTTTCTCACTCACTCTACCTCTCTCTCACTCTTTTTATCACTCTCTCTCTATTTCTCTCCCTCTCTCTCTCCCCCTCTCTCTTTCTACCCATCTCCCTCTCTCTATATATAGATAGTTACATTGAGCGTGATCAAACTAATGTCTGTGCTTTAATTACAATAGGTTTAATAGAACCCTTCTAACCATCCATCAGTATAGCTGATACTAACTCCCGGGAGAGCAACACGTTGCACCTTCTTGATCCACGTTATCTGCAGGCGGGAGATGGAAAGATTATATCGAATCAGTTGCGAGGTTTGCTGCCAGGAAAGTTGGTTTCAGGGTGTGACATGTCGGGCTTGGCAATTTTTCTCGCCAGTATCTATCTTACCCATTTATAAATCTACCATTCGTCCATGCTTAGAATATTGCTGCCAAATATGGATCGGTGCTTCTTATCTATCTATCTATCTATCTATCTATCTATCTATCTATCTATCTATCTCAGTCTGTTCATATCTATTAATCTATCTATCGATTTTAGATTTTTTATTTATTTCGTATTTATATCTATCTATCTATCTATCTATCTATCGCAGTGTTTTCATTATTTATCTATCTATCTATCTATCTATCTATCTATCTATCTATCTATCTATCTATCTATCGCAGTGTTTCCATTATCTATCTATCTATCTATGTCAGTCTGTTCATATCAATCTATCTATTTTATTTTTTTATTTATTTCTTATTTCGTATTTATATCTATCTATGTCATTTTGCTCATATCTATCTATCTTAGTTTTTATTTCTTAGTGTATTCGTATTCTGTTTATCTCGAATCTATCTATCTATATATCTATCTATCTGTTTTAGTTTTCTTTCTTTCTTATTTCTTTTTTTACAACTATCAACCTTATCTATCTATCTACTATTTTAGTTTTCTATCTATCTATCTATCTATCTATCTATCTATCTATCTATCTATCTATCTATCTATCTATCCCAGTTTCTTCATATCTATGTCAGTCTGCTCTTTTTTAATCACCCGTGAGAACCCTTTTTGCGTTCCATCATCAATGGCTGACGCTAGCATCCAGGAGAGTGACTCGTGTCACCTCCTCGGACTAACGTTTTCAACTGACATGAAGTGGAAAGGGTATATTGAATCAGTTGCCAAGTTTGCAGCTCAGAAAGTTGGTTCACCATGTCATGATAGACAATTTTTCTCGCCAGAATCTATCTTACATATTCATAAGTCGACCATTTGTCCTTGTAATGAATATTACCGCCACATCTGGTCTGGTGTTCCTGCTATATATTTAGAGATTCTTGATAAAATCCAAAGAAGAATCTGCAATGTTATTTGTCCTGACCTACCATCTCGACTTCACTCATATACCCACCGCCTTAACGTCGTTTTCCTCTGCCTTTTCTATAAATATTTTCATGGTAAATGTTCTAATGAGCTTTCCTCTTTGATATCTGAACTTTTGGGATTTAAGCGCAGTACTAGATTGGCGCTAATGTCTCATCCTTTTACTTTTGAAATCGCGAGATGGAACCGTAAGTCCTATGCCCGTTCTCCCTCCTTGGTGCCTACGAAAATGGATAGACGTAACCGTAAGTTCTATGTTAACACTTTCTTCTCTTGCACTTCTCACTTGTGGAACTCATTTTCGACTTCTTGCTTTCCAGTTAAGTTTGATCTTCAAAAGGTTAAATGCAATGTCAAACGTTATCTTCTTTCTTCTTGTTTCCTGTTCTTTTATTATTCTCCCTTTCTCTAATAATGTTTTCTTTTTTCACATATTCTTCCACATTCAGTAACTTCTTGTGCCTGAGTGGCTTTATTGCCTTCGTTGGGGAAAAATTACTTAACAAAATGGATTTCATTTTTAACTTTCTCTCTCTTTCTCATGTTTCAAGATGGAGGCAATCATCGATCTCCACTGGTTACTTATCTTTATCATATCAACTAACATGGCTTCTTGGGAAAGAAAGCCGAGTGATTCTTCCGTTGTCTTCTTCACGTAGCCCGTCACCTATAAGCATGCATAGCTTGATGGTTGTCGGCGCGGAATGTGAAATCAGCAAAACGCGCTGAAATTCCGGACGTAATGCGCCTTAGAAGGTAAATGCCATAAGTCCGTCGAAGCGGCTGGCCAGCCTTCGTTCGCGGTCGCCGGACGCCCGTAATGCGCCTTCGAAGGTAAATGCCGTAAGTCCGTCAAAGCGTCTGGCCGGCCTCTGTTCGCTGTCGCCGGACGCTCGTAATGCGCCTTAGAAGGTAAATGCGTAAGTCCGTCGAAGCTGCTGGCCTTCGTTCGCGGTCGCCGGACGCCCGTAATGCGCCTTTGAAGGTAAATGCGTAAGTCCGTCGAAGCAGCTGGCCGACCTTCGTTTGCGGTCGCCAGACCTGTCACTGGACCTAACTAATGCACTGTGGTATATGTCCTTGAGGACAGGACCCAAAGAGTGTGAGTTCAATACCCGGTTAAGGCAGTCGAGAACTTGGAGGGAAATTAACTGGAGATAACTGATAACTGCCATCCATTAGACATGGCACGTGGAATTAGAACAGTCTACCCCAGTGAGCGGAATAAAGGGTTCAGTTCGACATTCCAACCACCTGAAGAAGGCCGGAGCGAACAACGGTCGAAACGTTGTAATAAATATGGCGACAAAGATGAGGACAATAGTCCGAATAATGTAAATAGTGTACATAATACCTCATCTCAGAAATATAGACAGATACTGAAGACTCCTTTCTTCATCTAGCCTGCCATCCAAGGCAAGAGAGTATTTTTCTTTTTCTCTATTGTAGATTTTTTGCCTTTTCCCAACGGCGTTAGTGCGAAAGGAAACACAAACAGACAAGACCGGAAGGGAAATCGCTTCGCTGATTTCAGTTTTCCGCGCCGATAACAGTTACGTTACCCGGGCATTCTGGTTACTTTAACTTCGACAATAATCGTTTTGTTTTTTCTTTTCATATTTACGTCTCTTTTTCTTCATTTATTTTCATTGATTCTTTTTTTATTATTTCTCTCATTCGTTCGTTTTTTTTTCTTTCGTTTCATTCTTTCTTTCTCTTTTTATCTATCTAAGCCAGTCAGAACATTATCTATCTATCTATCTATCTATCTATCTATCTATCTATCTATCTATGTCAGTATATAATCTGTCTGTCTGTCTATCTCTCTAACGCAGTCTGTACATTATCTATCAATCTATGTCAATATACAAGCTCTCTCTCTCTCTCTCTCTATCTATCTATCTATCTATCTATCTATGTTCGTATTTAATCTATGTCAATCTGTACATTATCTATCTATTTCAGTATATAATCTCTCTCTCTCTCTCTCTTTCTATATCTCTCTCTCACTATCTATCTATCTATCTATCTAACGCAGTCTGTACATTATCTATCTATCTATCTATCTATGTCAGTACATAATCTTTCTTTCTTTCTCTCTCTCTCTCTCTCTCTATCTATCTATCTATCTATGTTCGCATTTAATCTATGTCAATCTGTACATTATTTATCTATTTCAGTATATAATCTCTCTCTCTTTCTCTCTATCTCTCTCTCACTATCTATCTATCTATCTATCTATCTATCTATCTAACGCAGTCTGTACATTATCTATCTATCTATCTATGTCAGTACATAATCTTTCTTTCTTTCTTTCTCTCTCTCTCTCTCTCTATCTATCTATCTATCTATCTATGTTCGAATTTAATCTATGTCAATCTGTACATTATCTATCTATCTATTTCAGTATATAATCTCTCTCTATATATCTATCTATCTATCTATCTATCTATCTATTATCTATCTTCTATTTATTTTATCTATTTATTTTATCACTCTTTCTCTTTCCCCCTACTTACGACCATATCTCGTTGAAATTCCGTTTCGCATACGATCACCGAAGTTAAGCAACATCGATCGTGGTCAGTACCTAGATTGTTGAGCGCTTCAGAATACCAGGTTCTGTAAGCTTGGATGTGCAGGTGGTGTAATGGATAAGGGCTCGCTATTGGAAAATCGGAGATTCGAGCTCCAATTCTAGTCGTGTTCGTTATATTCATTTATGCGCAACATCACCATCGGGGAACGTATGAACCCACCTTTTTTTCCTCCCCAGCTATGGGTTAATTAGTAGGAATTTCATTTTATTTTTTTATTTTGGGCTTAATAAGAAAAGTCGAGCGATATAAATTAAATAAGTAAAATTGCTCAAAATGCTCGTAATTTAAACTAAATATCAGATTTTGGTGCTTAAAACTTTAACCAACCTCACATTTATTTAAGGATTTTGGTGTAAAAACAAATTATCTTGTCTCATAATTTCAAACATTTTTTATTTAATTTAAATTATTCATTTCTTTTCTTTTTCATGGTTTACCTACTCCACTGTATTAATTTACGGATCGCGACAGCTATTAGGGAAATGTTATTAAATATACTTTAACATTTAAAAAAAAATATTCAGTATTATTATTGTTTATGTCAGGGGTCGGTAACCCACGGCACACGTGCCACATGTGGCACGCCAAGCAATTTCTAATGGCACGCGGCCGCAAATGACATCACGAAGTCCGAACCAATAACTACTACAACGCAAAGAATTTTAATATATACTAAATTATATATCCTATATATTACTATTAAAATATATTGTAGAACAGGTATATTGACCTTGACTTGTATAAAAATACGTATGCTGTTGGCACACTGAATGATTTTAAAACCCAAAGTCGGTACATAGTTAGCAAAAGGTTGCCGACGCCTGCTTTACAAGGCCTGGGGGCACTCGAGGTAGAGGGTTACGTTAGGAGGCCATTTCTGTGTATAGAAGTAGAAGATAACTGTTAACACTAGCCTTGAACGTTAAGAGTGTCGTGATCGGGGAAACATCCTCTTAGGAGTCGATTCCAAAGGGCAGTGGTTCGCAAGAACTTGCTGCTCAAATGGAACTTACTTCTCGTCGATGGAATACGGAGAGGAATGTGGATGGTTGGCTACTATGTAAGTGGCATTGCGTGTTCTTGCCCTGAAGGTTTGACTTGGCGGGACCAGGGAATGTAGCTCATCCGAGCACTTTCGATAGAGTAGCGAGAAGCTTGCTACGCCCCGCCTGTGGGTGAGAGGTTGAAGGGTGGAGAATAAAGCCCATATCTTCGTTGTTAGTGTTCACGCCATAGACTTGATTGGTTTTTGCTTGGTTGTTTTGTTTTACGGCTTATCAACCCATCTTGGGTCATTTAATCCCGAGACATTCTTATATTTCATAAAATTTAATTTTAATATATACTAAATTATATATCCTATATATTACTATATAAAATATATTGCAGAACAGGTGTATTGAGAATGTTTCTCTGGAAATAATAAAAAAAATGTCTTACATAGGATATACCACAACCACACAATCACGAAGAATTACCTGCCACCTATCAATCAATAGCGCTATTGGGCAACACATTAAAAAGCAGCATGAAATGCATTGTAACATTAGACATAAAATCAAAAGGTAAAAACAACCTTCCTCGAAGCAATAAAACAAAAAAAGACAACAAAAACAACCATTAATAAATAAAAACAATGAGAAGAGCTCGCATGTATGTGAAAACAGACACACGTTATACCTCGCCTACGTCTTAACTCTCACTAGTTGCTGGGAACTTACCAATTGTTTATACCTACCTTGATTGTGACTTAAGAAAATCAAAGGCTTCGACCATATTTCATGTATTTTTCTGGCGAAATTCCTTCTTGCCTGAGAAGGATTATTCGTCATTTGTAAAAGTTGAACAGTAAAATTAATCGACACAAAATGTCTGTTTTCTTTAAGAATATTTCCGAAAATACACAGAATATATATATATATATATATATATATATAACTCAGCAGTTTTCAATCTGCTTGTCTGAATCATCCTCAAGAAGCGAGAGCAAGATCTAAAAGGTCAGCCAATCTAACAGTGATCTCATCTCACAATCCTCATTCTTGCTCCATATGTGGCCTCCTTTGTAAATCATTAAGTGCCACTTAAGATTATTGCACAAAATTTCATAACCGAATCAATTAAGCTGTCAGATCCTCATACGTCGAAACCGAGGAGAGAGTCCATTATATATATATATATATATATATATATATATATATATATATATATATATATATATATAAAAAAAAAAAATGACAGTTCCTCGAGATACGTATGAATACCACATACACCCCTAACATCTAACCTATATTTAACTTTTCTGCTCTAGCTTTCACCTGTCTTTTGATTGGTCAACAGTGACATACTCATAAGATTTTAAAATGTTTAGGTAAATGCTCTGTTTATAATAAACAATATCAACAACATTTACTGGCCTGAATGTCCGATAAATTTTCATCGAAAATATGCATCCTCCGACAAGAATCGAACTTGTATCCTATACGGAACCGTCATATAGCCTGACGTGCTTTTACCGATTGAGCCACAAATGAGCGTTTCGTTCAGCAATGTCGATTTTACTGTTTTTAAATCACAATTGTCCATGATTTTCTCTCATACATTCATATCTGCTCGATGCGTATCCAAATGTAAACAAATGACGTCACACATTATGAAATGGACAAAGTCCGACAATTATTTTAAGATATTTTTTATGTTTATACGTTTTTTATAGATACAGATATTTAGGTAAATTCAGGCCGGTAAATGTTGTTAATACTGTTTATTATAAACAGAGCATTTACTTAAATATTTGTATCTATAAAAGAACGTATAAACATAAAAATGTCTTTAAATAATTGTCGGATTTTGTCCATTTCATATATATATATATATATATATATATATATATATATATATATATATATATATATATATATATATATATATATATAATATCCAAAGCCGATAGCATGACTCGGAGTTTCAAAAACGAGCAATCTTAATTTGTTTTTTTACATCTTATTTAAAATAATTTGTAATTTTTATTATTTTTTTAATTTTTTTTCATTCTTCGTCTTTCGAATTCAAGAATTGGAATGAAATAGATTATAAAAAATGAATTATAATATTATAGGCAACTATAATAAAATAAACAAATCTTAACACACTTTTCAATCATGGCCACGAGAGCGTGAATTTCATAACGGTCAGTCGAAATTTTCGCGCCTGAAGATTGCACGTTTGCATGAAACTCAGTCACGCTACAAACCTTAGATATTATGTATAGCCTCTAATATATACGTACTAATATATAAGCAATGCCTGAAATCACATTAGTTATTTTAGCTATACTTAAAACTAGGTACATTAAACTTTATAACATTTTTTACAGATTATTTCTATCGCAAATACAAATAAAATTATAAATTTTTTAAAGTGCACACGAACTTTATGGAAACCCTGTATATATATTTATATATATATATATGTCACGTATCGATACAAAGTGGGAATCATTTAGTCGTATATTTTCTCAACCAGAGTCGATAAATATTCATGCTTATTCTCATGGTAGAAATGTCCTTCCCACTAGAATGTTTGACTCATCAAAATATTCCATCTGTCCGTTCCCCCGATTTAACATATTGCTAGAATAAGCTAAATTTAATAAATATTGGAAAATCATTTTTTAAATACTTCTCTGGTTCCTGATGAGATTTTAAAACTCACTTTACGAGAAAATACTTGAATATTACATGTTGACAAATTGATATTCAGTGTACATCTGCAGGAATAGTCTAACAGAAATATACAACGTGTAGGGAGGATTGACTTACAAAGGATTTTCTTATTTTTTTTTATCTCCTCTCTCCATTCTTTGTTTCTTTCTTTCGTTTAATTTCTCTCTCTTCGTTCTTTCTTTTTCTTTTCTTTCACTCCCACATCTTCTTTCAACTTCTCTCTTTTCTTTCTTTTTTAAACTTCTTCCTCTTCTTCCTCTTCTTTCTTTCTTTCTTTCTTTCTTTCTTTTTCTTCCCCTTTCTTTTTTTTCTTTATTTAAACTCCCCCGCTTCTTTCTTTCTTTCTTTCTTTCTTTCTTTCTTTCTTTCTTTCTTTCTTTCTTTCTTTTCTTTTCTTTTTTCTTTATTTAAACCCCCTTTTTTTTTTTTTCTTTTATTTAAACTTTCCCCTTTTCTTTCTTTCTTTCTTTCTTTTTTTTTCTTTCTTTTTTCTTTCTTTTTTTCTTCCCTTTTTTTTTTTTTTTATTTAAACTCCCCCTTCTTTCTTTTCTTTTTCTTTCTTTCTTTCTTTCTTTCTTTCTTTCTTTCTTTCTTTCTTTTAGGTTATCTCATTCTTTCTCTATTTCTTTCACCTCCTCCCTTTTCTTTCTTTCTTTTTTTTATTTTCTGTTTCCTCTTCTTTATTGAATCTGATGTTTGTTTTGATTTTTGAAAGTGCATCTTGTGAACAGCTCTTCGACATTCTCTCGTGTAACCAAATTTAAAACATAATACACACACACACGCACGCACTTACACACACACACACACACACACACACACACACACACATATATATATATATATATATATATATATATATATATATATATATATATATAAACAAGGGTTTGTGGCCGAGCGATGTTTGCTTTTCGACCATGGACGATTTGTTGATATTATCGGTCTGGGTGAGGCGATCCCAGCGTGCAGCACCTTTGGAATGCGCCTGGCTACCAAAACCCGGATTGATCCAAGCCTTGTGAGGGAAATTGGGCAAACGGAACAATTCGGAGGTCGTCGATAGTTGTGCTAGCACGAAGTTAAAAGTCATCGTGACCGAGGATTTAAGTTTACTGGACTTGAAACTGTTGAACACACCAGATTATGAGCTTTCTCCACAAAACTATAACTAAGATCCGCTTTGTATGGTTGCCTTATAAACCACACA